ACACAGAACTTGGCTGGAGATTGTGGCTAGAGATCCTGGCAAGGCTGCTGATCAACTGAACGCTGTCTCCATGTCATTCCTTCTTCGCCAACTCCGTCCACACCTTTGGGGACCCCAGCACCCACACTGTACTCCTAGATAACTCTGATGTAGCTACATCCCAGACTGGTACAGAGCAGCCTCCAGAGCACCAAATGGGAAGAGAGATGAAGGGATCTTCCTCCCTGAGTGTTACTCTTACCCACTTAAGACAGTTGATCCTCTCCAGGCCAATGTACAGAAGTAAAAAATCAGAACTCTGACGAACTCAAGTTCCTACCTTCTTCAGGCTTCTTCAATGCATAATTTCCCAGTAACCAGTAGGGGTGTATTTCTCATTATTCTTCTACCTCATTTACAAAACTGTGGATGGTACCGTCATGCATTGCATTATTGTATTCCAATCAGAAAGCTTTTGGAAATATGTGAGGGCTGTTCTGTTTTCTGAGTACAGTATAATAGAAGAAGCAAGTGGCATTTATTGGGGTAGAAATGTTAAGCAATCTGTGTTTTCAGTCCAACTCAACAGAGAACTATTCTGCCCATTGAAAACCATTACTTTATATCTTTCCCACTATTTAACAAAGAACAAGCTTCATGGCCTAGTTGTCATAACAGAAGAGGTATTTTCTCCTCACTCTATAGCGAAGTTCACCTTAACCATCCCTCATTAGCCCTAGATGTGATAAATAAGAGCTATTGCCTAGAGAGATAGAGGTTACAGAGGAAGATGAAAAAGATAAGGTTAAAAGAACAAATGGACATGGACAACAGTGTGGTGATGGCGGGGGCAGGGAGGTGGAGGTGGAAGAAGGTAGGGGCGTGGGGACACTAAAAAATGAAGTCAGCAGTTGAATATGTGCAAAATTTAATCACCCCTACCAAGGCAAATATTTAAAATGCAAACATTCATGATTAAGTAATACATTACAATGTTTTATTTGCTCAGTACGAGTGAAATATCGGGGAAATTACTCAACCTTGATGGGTTCCAATTTCAGTATTTGTTGAAGGAATGCTAACCAAACTTTTGTGAAATAGTTGCTTGAAATATCAAATATGTATGGAATGAATTTTTTAAATTGTGATCTCAATTTGGCTAAAGATAAAAGTAGTATATGGAATAAAATTATAATAGACTGTTGATGTCTTTTCTATTAATATCAAAAAACTAGGAAGAAAAAGTAGATGTGGGTAAAAAATGATAATTTTTTATAGAGCCTATAATTAATACTGTACTGCATACCTGAAACTTGCTAAGAAAGTAGATCTTATGTTGTGTTCCCATTATAATAATAATAACAATAATAATAATAATTGAAGAGGAGGGAAACGTTTGGAAATGATGTATATGTTTATAGCAAAGATTGTTCTGATGACTTCACAGTTATATACCTAACTACATACTAATGAAATAGTACGTACTAAATATGTTCAGCTTTTTGTGTGTCAATCATACCTCAATAAAGTGTTTTTAAAATATAGAGAGAAAGTAAAGCCTTTGGAAATGATGGATTATAGTAGGCATGACTTTAGTCTTCAAGTCTTTTCTGTAAGCAGAGTCCAGAGAATAATATTACAATTCAATTTGGGGAGAAGGAGGAGATAAGGTAATAGACCAATATATGGGTCACTCAGATAAAATTTGTTATCTTCTGCTTCCTAACCATAGTCTGGAGTTGCTAACAAATGATGAATTTAACTAGAAGTTTGGGGTAAATAATAAAATTTTCAGAGAAATATGTCAAGCTGATCAGCCTAGAACAAGCATGTCAAACTGGCCCACAATGAATATTTTTACAGACCAGCCAATATAACAGTATGTAAAAAACATTTTAATAAAAATTTCATAACTTAATTTTTACAATATCCTGTTATACATAATTTTAATAACGAACTACAACGTTCGCTAATGACTGATTACTATAATCGTGTTGCATTCATTTCCCTTACCCAATGCGCAGGCGCACCATTTCTCTCTCTCTATTGAAATAAACCTACGTTTCTATGAAAATTGAAGCTTTTGTTTTTTTGTGGCCCACATAAACTTAATCCTTGTTTATTTGGCCCATGTTAGCGTGTGAGTTTCACATGCTTGGCCTAGACGTTTGCCCCTAATTCGTTCTTTTGAATTGGATAGAAAGAGCTCACAAGACACAATTTAGAATAGGAGAAAGATGTGTACAAATGGCCACTGCCACTGCCTGCTCCCATATGGTTGTTTTTGATGCTACTGATGCAGTAAGCCTGGTGGAAGGCTATTACATCTTTTTTTTTTTTTTTAAGGCTATTGCATCTTTAAAAAAGCAAATGTTCAGTAGATCAAAGACATCCAAATGCAAGAAAGGGATTAGCTGAGAGGTACCGTCTGAATGACCCTGGGTAGTTTATTTAACTGCTTTGAGCCTCTCTGCTTTATAACAAAACATTAGCACTTATGCAATAAGTAATTTGAGATAGATTTTAATGATTTAAGAATGGCTCTAAAGATGTGTGGCACATAAATTTTCCAAGAAAGAATTTAAAACATATACAGAAAGATTGCTCCTCGGGAGCAGACCACGTGGAGACTTCAATTGACCTCCAGATTCAACAACTAATCTGTCTGTATTATTACCTATTCCCAGTCTCCCACCTATTGACTTTGTAAAGTAATAAAATTGTGTTTCCTATGTCAAATGCCCGTGGTATTTTTTTAAGGATAAATGCTCATGTTGGTGGTAGAAGGGAAAGGGCAATAAAACAATATAAAAATCATTCTGTTTTTCTTAATTTCAATGGTACTCTATAAGTAAATGACTTAAACCTACAAGCATGGCATCATTAAAATTTTGAGGAGTTACATTTTTATGTATTATTTATGTAATAGATATATGTTCCCTGAAGTTCTTTCAGTTGAATTTGTGTAAATTCAGTCATGGTGTTCATGCACAAGTGATGTTTACTTAGACAAATTTTAATGTAAACTGTTTTATAAAGTGAGTAATCACCCACAATTTATTATATATGTGTACTTTTATGAGTCTATATTCAAGAATTTATATATTAAGGCTCTTTAAAACAAAGAATGCCTATAAAATTGAAATACCTTCAAAGTCAACTTATGAGGCACTACTAATGAGTAAAAGGTATCATTCTTATGCAAATAAGATGGAGGAGACAGTATAGAACTGATTGTAGCAATAAGTACATATTGTTATGGAAAACACAATGATGGTTGAAAATACTTGCTGTCCTCTGGTTTTTCTCTGATTTAGCCTTCTTCCCTTCCCAGACAGTATATGGTGCTGGTCCCCTCTCTGCTCCACACCGGGACCCCTGAGAAAGGCTGCCTCCTTCTGAGCCACCTGAATGAGACAGTGACTGTAAGTGCTTCTTTGGAGTCTCCCAGGGAGAACAGGAGACTCTTCCCTGACCTGGTGGCAGAGAAGGACTTATTCCGCTGTGTCTCCTTCACGGTGAGTACCAGCTGCCCGTCCCTATTTGATACATTATATCTCCATGGTAATGGAGAATGAGTGTTCAATCCCAAAGAATGACTTTCAAATGTTAGTGAGGATTTCAGAAAGAACCAAGGCAATGAATTTTTAGCTATTGAGGAACAAAGCATGAATTTTTTCACCAGGGTAAGGGGGAAATATTTTTCTACTTGCCAAAGTTCAATGTACTTCCTAAAAAATCTATACTAATAAAAGGGTAATATGCTAATTAGACCAGGTCAATTAGCCATCTTCCAGACGTCCAGCTTCCTTCCAGACAAAGCCATGGTGGTGGGGGCCGAGGCAGAGACAATTAAGGGCAAGATCAGGATGGCAGGGGGTTATGGGTGACCAGGCCAGCAGGAGAGGGCCATTGGGGGCAACCAGGGGAGGGCAGTTGGGGGTGACCAGGCCAGCAGGGGAGGACAGTTGGAGGCATTAGGCAGGCAGGCAGGTGGGTGGTTAGAAGCCAGTGGTCCTGGATTGCAAGAGGGATCCCAGATTGGAGAAGGTACAGGCCAGGCTGAGGGACAAACCCCCCGCCCCCTGCACAAATTTCGTGCACTGGGCCTCTAGTAAAAAATAAATGTATTAGCCACAGAAATTGTATGATTTATAGGTTCTTTCTAGCTTTGTTATATAACCATCTCTTTCAGGCCAGAGTTGGACAATGCCTAGAAACAGATTGTACAAATACCTCATAGAAGGACAGCATGCAGCAGATTTTTTCTCTCGCAGTGGGATATTACGTGTCTTTGTCCTTGGAATATGTAAATGGTTCAAAGTACTCCAAGAATAAATCCAGTACCTCTGTGAGGATGCTTAACTTGGAATACTTAGCTCCTATAATCTCCCATACTTTTTCAGAGATGCTTCTCTCCATTCCTTCAGAAAACATATACTCTGTTAAAAAGAGTAGTGTAACAAATAGAGTTCCAGATGAGCTATATGGGAACTTGGGTCCCACTGATGGCTGTTCTTACTGATATAGTTCCCCTATATTTTATATTAATATCTTCACTCTTATACCTGGAGAAATATTCATACTTACCGCACCCTTTATGAAGCTGAATGAGAGACAGAAAATAGCAATGGTTGAAGGAGTCAGAGGGAGAAGACTGTGCTGTTCCTCAGTGGTATCTTTGTTCTTTAGATCCCAAGAATCTCATCCTCTTCAGAGGTGGCTTTCTTCACTGTCCACATAAAGGGACAAACACAAGACTTCAGGAAGAAGAGCAGAGTGCTGGTAAAGAACGATCAAAGTCTCGTCTTTGTCCAGACAGACAAACCCATCTATAAACCAGGACAGACAGGTAAGTAGGGAAATTCCACCTCCTCAGCAGGTTTCCTGACAAAGTCACCATTATCTTGATCTCTTAGTCTTCTGTGTTATTACCTAAATTACTGGCTTTATCGTGTCTGAGACTTACCAGAAAATTTCTTTTTCAGTAAAATTCCGCATTGTCTCTGTGGATGAAAATTTTCACCCCCTAAATGAACTGGTAATTATCTCAATATCTCTAGTTTGGGTGGGTGGTGGTTGGTGGGATGAGAGCACTCACCCAAGGTGGGATGGGAAGGTCCAGGAAAAGTGAAGTGAAAGCTATTCCTGTTGGAACCTAGATTCCAGCTTTACTACAAATCTAGAGTCTTATACAAGGCATAATTGAGGAGTAAGAGATGAGAAAGCTCTTTCTCCTACAACAGTAATAAACCAGTCTGGAAATAGTCAGCTACATTCATTGTTCTCAAAACACGACGTTAAGTATAATGAACAGGTACAATAAAAAGTTATGTATTACCCATACCCATACTCTGAAGGAATTCATAATTAAAGCACCAAAGAGTTTCACTTCTTCTGAATATATGTATACTATATATATATATGGCTAAAATGTTAAGTGTCCTTCCCTCCATCCAACCAGTTGCTATGACATGCACTGACCACCAGGGGGCAGACGCTCAACATAGGAGCTGCTGAGCTACAGTGACTTGGCAGGGGCGGTTCTTGGGTGATGCACCTCAAAACCAGAGAGGAGGGAGTCCGATTCCACCTTCGGCCATGGGTCATGTTGTTGCTGGGGCTCTGTCAGCCCGAATCTGGTTTACTTTACACTTGCATTTGCATTCCACACCCTTTACGACAGCAACTTTGCAGAGTGCCCTCTTGCACTCCGGGACCCCTCAAGGTTTCAGCCTGATTCCCACAGGCCAGGCCAGGGGACCCCACCTACCAGAGGGACCCTGCTCACTCCACAGACACCTTTCAAGCCATGACACTACCCCAGTTGTGGCCAGCTTTTGAGGGACCTTGGGAGATTGGCTCCAGGCCATGTCCAGCCTGTCTTGCCCAGTCCCGCCCTGCTGGCCACCTTCTAATTAATTTCCTTTCATGTGCATAAATCTGTGCACTGGGTCACTAGTGAAATATATAATTTTATTATATATGATAACATATTTTATAATTTTTATTCGTGCATCATATACTATTCATTATATATAAAGTCTTCATTTCTGTTCATTGTGTGTCCCTTCCTTCAAGTAGCTTTCAATATGAAGGCAAAGAAACAAGGCTATTTTTAAAAGGTAAATATTAGACAATCTTGAAATTAAAAGAAGTATTCTTGGTTTATTTTAAAAATAATTCTGGGAATTTTCTTCCTGTTAAGTCTAAATCATAATGACATGTAACTTTATTAACATCAATTTTTAATTTATGTAAGTAAATAATATAGTCATAGTCTTCACTAGGAGGATTTTAGTGCCTAAATAATATTGGTGAATAATATTAATTAACATATCTGGGTATGCTAATTAACCCAGATATGCTAATTAGTCATGACCAGATATGCTAATTAGTCATGGCCAGATATGCTAATTGACCATCACTCAAACACACAAGATGGCCAGCAGGGAAGAGCAATAGGGGGGGACCAGGTCTGCAAGGGATGATTTTTGTAAAAATATGTTATGCTTTTCTTAGAACTATTTACTGATTTTTCTAAGCAATTCCACTTCTTTTATGTTTCTAGTTAAATTTTGATATATCTTACTACAAACATTCTTTTTCCTTAGTAAGCTGTTTAATCATAAATCTGAAATCATAGCCTTGGTGAAATTCTAATCACGTCTCTTCTTTCATTTTTTCATATAGATTCCACTGGTATACCTTGAGGTAAGCATCAGAAATAATATCTTATAAGGAAGTCAGTGCATTTAAGGAAGAGGAAATTCTGATACTATTCCAGACAGATGAACTGTTGTTAAAAAAAAAACAAAAAACCTTTCAGATATAAATTTTCCTATTCTCAGATGTCAGGTTTATTGTGGTTCACCTTTCTTCTGTGTTTGTCTTTCCTGAAGGCAATGCCAATTACTACCCTGAAAGTCATGTGTTTTGTCAAGGGCTATCATGACTAAATAATTATTCCCATGCTCCTTTCTTACTTCTAGAACCCAAAAAGGAATCGAATTGGACAATGGCAGAATCTCAAGTTAGAAAGTGGCCTCAAACAGTTAGAGTTTCCCCTCTCATCAGAGCTGATTCAGGGCTCCTACAAGGTGGTGGTAGAGAAGGAATCAGGCGGAAATATACAGCACCCCTTCACCGTGGAGGAATTTGGTATGGATTATGAAAAATGAAAGGATCATAACTGTTTGGTTCATAGTGTGAATTCACTTAGACTTTTTTATTTTCCCACAGGTATATTAAACTTGGAGTAGAGTAGGCTATATCTTTTTCTAAGGCCATCATTATTCTGTGAACACAAAAGTTTATAAGAGCGTGGTGATTTATAGTAGCAAGTTATACTTTATCAAGTATCAAAATGTTTAATTCAGTGGAACATCATCATTTGTTAACATCACTGAGATCTGTTGTGGTCACAAAGTCAGATTTTTGCATGAATTATTAAACCTAATCATCTTGAAGTTGATAGATGGAAAAATGAACGTAACTTTTCAGGTTATTTTTGTGGAAAAAATTATAGGCATGAAAATATTTGTATTTCTATTAATTATTTACCAACTCCCCTCTTTCTATTTATCTCTATCAACAGTGGTTCCCAAGTTTGAGGTCAAAGTTCAAGTCCCAAAGATAATCAGTATCCTGGATGAAAAAGTGGACATATCAGTATGTGGAATGTGAGTTAAATTGTTTTTGTCTAAAATTTCATATTTTGCCTCAATTTTGAGTGACTATTTAGCTAGTACACAATTATAAATTAATTTTACTTGGCACTTTTAAAAGTTTATCTCAGTGACCTCTTTTTATTTATATTATTAAATATTTCAAATGCACCAAAGAGTGTAGAAATTTCTCAAATGCACCAAGGAATGTAGACACATACATGATTTGATAAATAATAAACATGTTTGCTGATTTTTTTCTTTAACATTTCAGGATAAATTACAGAAATCATGACATTTTCACACAGCTACAACAGTATAGACCTTTAAAAATTAGTGACATTTTTCTATGCAATAATGATGACATTGTCACATTTAATAAAATAAAGTGATTATTCAATACTAATTTTGAGTTTACACTCAAGTATCCTTGATTTTCCTAAAAATTCTCAGATTTTCCTAAAAATGTCTTTATTCATTGCTTTTAGTTATTATGGCTCATGTGTACTTTCTTTTTTTTTAACCAACTCTCTACCATGAAAATTTTTGATTGAATATAAAAGTTATCAGAATAGTAAAATATAACCACTTGTGACCGTCACCTATTATAAGCACTATAAAATTTTGCCAATTTTGTTTCATTGATTCCTCCCCCCTACAGTTTTTTTCCTAATATTTTTAAACAAGCCATGGGAAATCTATAAATAGCTCAAAGTTTTAAAAATCTAGACCCTCCTTTTGTCCCATGGTGTTAGCTTATGGAAAGCAATAGGTCAATTGGCCTATAAATGTCCCACTTGTTGCATTTGCCTTATTGGTCCTTCATGGTACATTGATTAATTAATTTGCTCTCTCCTTTGGCCAGTTTTAAGAGCATATTTTGAGTGCTTTGCATAGATCCTCTTGGTGCAGTAAAGGAACAAATTTTTAAACACTGAAATAATCTCTCTCCATTTATAATTTTTTGAGGAATTTTCATACAGTTTTTCATAGTGGTTGCTCTGATTATATTTTTTACTTGAAGTTATATTGTAGGCATTTGGAAATAGAAAAGCAAAACTGGTGACCCCCTAAAAAAAACATCAATTATTCCATTTGTATTTAAAATATAGAGGAATAATTAAGTATAGAGTGGACACATAAAAAACTTTATATGCCCCATGATTGGTTTTTTTAGACTTTCTGTCTCTCTTATCTCTCTATCTATCATCTATCTATCATCTATCTATCTCTGTGTGTGTTATGTTTGCTTATTACTTATTTTATTCTCTTCATCACAGATTTTTTAAATTTGTTATAAAGAGCAAGATTTGATTTTATGACAAAATAAAAAGAATAATAAAAATGAAAACATAAAATTATCCCAAGGCAATTTGGATGTGCATTGAAGTAAAGTTTCAAATGCCTTACTGGGCAATATCTTTATAGAGACATTTTCCAGACATGTTCCTACGTGATATGAGTCTAAAATAATAAAGTTGTTATTAGAAAATAATTACTCTGTGCTGGGCTGTTAGTGAAAATGTAGATACCTTTCTTCAGTTCCTGATTTATGTCTTATGTGACAGATACACCTATGGGAAACCTGTGCCAGGACGTGCAACCGTGCGCATGTGCCGAAAATTATTTGATTCTTTTTATTGTCCAAAGAAAGAGTTCTGTGAGGAATTCAGTCACCAGGTTAGTATGCAGTGTTCTCTCTGTGTACTATTGTTGATAACCATTGAGCTACCCCATTTCACTAATGGGCATCAGAATAAGCTGATCTTCAAATATTCACCACCAAAGATGAAATCCCTATTAATAGTCACCAAAATTCTCATTTTGATGATCAATCATAGATTGTAAATCAAATATGAATATTAAATTCCTAAAGGTTGATTAATATGTTTAACCCAAAAAATTCTTGATACCAGAAAGGAAATAGTAGATTTAGTGACTATTGGTCTGAATCTGTGTGACATTTATCAATTTTTGTATTCGCAGCTTAACAGCAATGGCTGCATCACCCAACAAGTAAACACAAACTCGCTCCAACTTAAGAATGCGGGTTATGAAATGGAACTTAGAGTGGAAGCCACGATTAGAGAAGAGGGAACAGGTTTGAGTATTAACTTAATTTGGGAGGTAAAGCAATAAATATTGATTTGTGTCCCGTAACAAAATAAAAGTCATAACAAATGTAGGAAATGAATTTTTTAAATATATTTTTATTGATTTCAGAGAGGGAGAGAGAGCTAGAAACATCAACGATGAAAGAGAATCATTGATCGGCTACCTCTTGCATGCCCCCTACTAGGGGTCGAATCCACAACCTGGGCACGTGCCCTTGACTGGAATTGAACCTGGGACCTTTCAGTTCACAAGCCGACGCTCTATCCACTGAGCCAAACCAGCTAGGGTGGAAATAAATTTTAGAGCCAAAGTAACTTCCAAGAATAGTTACTCTTTCCTACCTATATTTTTCAGACCTAGAGTTCACTGGAAGTGGGACCAGTAAAATCACAAACATTGCAACCAGAGTCGAGTTTGTGAAAGTGGATTCACACTTTCGAAGAGGAATACCCTTCTTTGGTCAGGTAGAGTGTATTGCAATTTAGAGGTAAATGAAGTGTCCAGTTGTTCTTAGGTCAAGGACACACTGATGTAATCCAAACCTAGTTAGTATTAGCAAATAATTAATATGACCCAAGTCATTGAACAAAACCAAAGTAGATAGTTTCCTTTGTAATATCACTGATAAAATACATGAACATACACTACAGTATTAAGAGAATCAGAGGTACTGTTTCTTTTTTGAGTATGTAACTAATAAAGATGTTTAATGTGATATAAGTTAGTTATTACATCAAGCCCCTTATCCCACCCATTTTACAATAAATAAATATATTTCTGCCATTATCCATCCAGCATCAGAATTTTAAAACAGTTTCTCACAAATGACTCTCAATTTATGGTGTCAATTTCTTGTTCTGTTTAAAATAAGTGAATAAATTATTTTATTTTTAAATATTGGAATTATAATAGTGTGCAGTTTATGATTATTATTATTGTATGATTTTCATATTTCGGGTACATACTTTAAGATAATACAATAAATAAATAATGTTGATTTTATTCAGATTTACAATTAATTTTAGCAGCTTTATACTTACTGAATTTTTCTTAAAAAAAAAACCCCACACATTCTTGTGCAGATTTGTTTCAGAAAATGAAAATTAAGATGAGGATCCAAATGCAAAGAAACAGTTTTGTAATCAGTATGACAGAGTTGTTTCTTATTCTTTGGTTTTTGTTTTTAAGTCACGGGAGCAAAGCAGTCTGTTCCCATGAGTTCTACCTTCTCTCAGTATTCTCCACATAACTTAACAATTACTTTTCTTCTGTAGGTGCTCCTGGTAGATGGAAAAAATGTGCCCATTCCCAATAAACTTGTTTTCATCTCCGCATTTGAAGCCAATTATCTTTTCAATGCAACTACCAATGAGCAGGGTCTTGCACAGTTTTCAATCGATACAACCAGTATGTTGACTAACCACCTTTTTATTACAGTAAGTATGAAAGAAAAGAAACCACCTTTTCATTACAGTAAGTATGAAAGAAAAGAAACCTGAGAACAAAGAGAACCTTGGTAAAACAGTCATTTATTCAGAAGTGAAGAAGGACACAGGCTGTATTTAAGAGAGAGAAATAAGAAGCTGTGCAATTTGGGAAAAAACTTGGGTATATAAAAATGTAATTGGAAATAATAAAGACATTAGAAAAGATATTGTTCAAGTCCCTGAGAATTATTTTTAAGGAAGGGGTAAGAGAAGGGAGGGATGGGAGATATCTATAATACTGTCAACAATAAAATAAAAATTTTTAAATTGTTCTTAAAATTTATGTATTTTCTAAATATCTCATTGGATTTTTTTTCCTCAACAATATCAGTTCTTCAATGGGGGATTCATGTAATTTGTTTTTCCATGTCTACTTAGATATTTTTAAAATGATCAGAACCTCCCACATACACACACACATATTTATATATTGCCTAATAAAGAGGATAAAAAAAAATCTATAAAGCCCCGGTTCGGTAGCTCTGTTGGTTAGAGCATCATTCTGATACACCAAGGTTGTGGGTTCAATCTCCAGTCAGGGCACATACAAGAATCAATCAATGAATGCATAAAAAAAGTGGAACAAATGATCTCTCTCACTCTCTCTCTCAATAATCACAAGAGGCATAGATGCTAATTTTCTGAGGATTATTTATTTTGAGACCCTTGTGTAATAAGAGATTTTGTTAATATATATAATGTGATTTTAGTTAAACCAATTTAAAAGAGACTCTTATCAAAGATTTCTAGCTTTTTAACTGGACCATTATTGTTCCCCTAGCTTTGAGCTGCACAAGAGTCAAATGAGTAATGAGTTGGCAGAATCAGTACAAAGGAGATAAATATGTAGATTATTTTCTTTTAATCTGTGCAAATTAAGAGATTGACAATATGTTTAGTTGGCAGTCAGCAAGAACAAGAGAAATGCAAAATATACTTGAGAGTAGAAGACACAAAATTGTAACTTCATTTTGGTGGGAAGCTAAAGTGAAGACCTTCAAGACAATATTGATTCTTTGTTCTTCTGTTTTATCAGGCCTACCATGAGAAAGGTGACATGTGTTATAGGATTGCGTTTCTAGAAGAAGAACACCGGGCTGCTCAGCACACTGCAAGACATGTTTTCTCATTAAGTGGAAGTTTCATTGACTTGGAGCCTGTGGTTGGTACCCTGCCCTGTGACCAAACACAGACTATCAGGGCACACTATATACTCAAGGTACCGGCCCCTGGAAAATTGAAGGAGTTCGTTTTCTATTACCTGGTAAGAGAAAGGCTACAGATATATTTGGAGTTTATCAGTAGATAGAGTGGTGAATGGGGCCAGGAATGTAAAAAATATTTGTGCACTACTGTCTTGCTTTCTCATCCAGGTTCCCTTGATTCTTGATTTTCAGGAGGTTGATTCTCTCTAGCAGAGACTCAACAATCTAAAGTCAGTTATGTGGCCCAGTCAGTGTGGCTCAGTGGTTGAGCATCGACCTATGAACCAGGAGGTCATGGTTCAATTCCTGGTCACAGCACATGCCAGGATTGCAAGCTCAATCCCCAGAGGGGGACATGCAGGAGGCAGCTGATTAATGATTCTCTCTCATCATTGATGTTTCTATCTCTCTCTCCCTCTCCCTTCCTCTCTGAAACTGATTTAAAAAAAAAAATAGGTTATGTGGAGAATAAGGTGTTGAAAACAGTGTCAGCAAAGTTCTTTTCTCTGCTGATTTTTCATTTCAGATCATGGCTAAGGGAGGCATCGTCAGATCAGGAACACATGCTCTGCCTGTAGAGCCAGGAGACAGTGAGTATCTTCCAATCAGTCTCCCCGTTTCCTTGCCAGCACATCCACCCTTACTCAGTGACAGTTCACAAATGGGGAAATCATTCCCATTATTCCTTTACACTAAGAAAGGGGACAAAAGCCCTAGTGGGTTTGGCTCAGTGGATAGAGCCTCGGCCTGCGGACCAAGGTACATGTCCTTGACTGGAATCGAACCTGGGACCCTTCATTCAACAGGCCAACACTCTATCCACTGAGCCAAACCAGTTAGGGCACTTTCTTCTATTTTTAACCCTACCAACAAATGTACATTGACCATCTTTAATTTTAGAATTGCAAAGAAGAAGAGAGTTAAGTATCATGGAGGGGGATGTTATTTTTTGTGCAGACTCTGAGCTAGGCTCTTTATGAGGATGCATATTGTGCTGCGGGCATGAAATTGAGTACTTCACCCATGAACTTGAGTGCACTTCATGAATAAGTTAGGAGAAAGGAAACCAGTATTATTTTCTATTCTAATTAAATCTATATCAAGGTTTAAATCACTGAAACAAGAACCCATGAACATTCCTGTAATTAATCTAAACAAAGGCAAGTATTTCACCAAACTCCACACAACCCCAGTGCTAAACTTAACAATGCTTAGGATTTGTTCCAAGTCAATGATTTTTCTTTACTTTTATGGTTCCTTTCCTTACCAGGCTGTTTTTAATACCAAAACAATATTCAAGAAGGTTTAATTTAAAATAAGCTATTAATCAGCACTTTCAATAATTGTTTGAAATAAACATTAAAGAATGCTGAAGTTTTGAATATCATTTTCCACAATATTATGTAGAGATCGATACAGCAATCTGGACCCTATTGCTTGCAAGGTTCCCCTTCACTCCATCTTGTTGCCTGTTTTTCTACTTTATTTTAACAATGAAACATGTAACACACTTAGAGAAAGAGGTGTGTCTAAAAGCACTATCTAATTTTTTCTGATATTTTAATTTGTGCATAATTCATGAAAGAAATAATCTCTGACTAGTAATATAAAGAAAACTCCATTAATTATTTACTTAATGAACACATCACAAAAAATGTATTGAAAGTAACTGAAGCAATAATTGAAAGTATTTCTCTATATAAGTAGTTAAATCATAAATATTTAGAATAAAACTGTTTTAATCACACATCATAATTACATTATTAATTGCCAATTTGTTCTCCACTAAAGAGCTACTGAGAACTCTTCACTGTGTTAGATTAAGAAAAAAACCAAAAACTTGTTTCACAGTTTGTCTAATTCAACCTTTTGAATTACTTAAGTTTAGCTTACTTATATAATTCTTTTTTATATGCTATTTTGCATAGTGTTTTAATATCAGGATATAAATTACGAATTTCAGAACTATTTCAAAATCAGTTTGAAATTCAGAATTCAGGTTTTTAATAATGAAGCCTTCACAATTTTCATTACTAAAAGGTTACTTTCCTTCCAAAGCTTTCTTTCTCTGCCAAAACATTATGAAAAGGTTATTCTTCCAAAGTTTCCTCTGCCAAAACATTACTAAGAGGTTATTTTTCCCTCCAAAACTTTCTCTGCCAAAAAAAAAAAGAGAAAGTTATGTACCATAACTTCTTGTTCCATGTTTATAATATTTCAATCTATTCTTACCTTGTATGGTTAGCTCAAGATAGCAAATACAAGGGTTGAAATTTCCCTCTTT